ATTTGATTTATTGCATATAATATTTGATTATTTAATCATATGTTATATGCAATAAATCGACAATAATTCCCTGTTTTAAATGTTCACATTATTTGATTTTATATCAGAAAAGAGAATCAAACCATTCGATCCTGGCATCAAACCATTTGGTTTTGGAATTGAATTATTCGATCTGCGAATCGAACCATTCGATTCACGGATCAAATGGTTCGATTCGCAGATCGAATGATTCCATTCCAAAACCGAATGGTATGATGCCAGGATCAAATGATTCGATTCACGGATCGAATGTTTCGATTCACGGATTGAATGCTTCGATTCACGGATCGAATGATTCGATTCACAGATTAAATGATTCGATTCACGGATCGAATGATTTGATTCACGGATCAAATGATTCGATTCACGGATCGAATGATTTGATTCACGGATCAAATGATTCGTTTCACGGATCGAATGATTTGATTCCAGAATCAAATCATTCGATCCTGAAATTTATACCGGACCACGTTTCTGACTCTAGCGCCATCTATCAACAACTTGAGCAAAACGGTACTAGTTCAACTTTGGAGCATTTTTACATTATGATAATTAATAAATTTCTATAAGTATTATAGCTCATAATAAGCAGGAGATATCAAATAATAATGTTACAATCTATTCTTAGCATTTTGAGCAGTGAATCGAATCATTCGTTCCGTGAATCGAAGCATTCGATCCGTGAATCGAATAATTCGAACCGTGAATCGAAGCATTCTAGCCGTGAATGTTATATGTGATAAAATCAACCATAAAACAAAAAATCGAATTATGAAACAAAATACATGCCATACATGTTTGCTATTTTTTTTGCTGACCAAGTTCACCTGGTTAAAAGTCAAGTAGTCATTAACTGTAGATTTGAAAAAAATGGAATATTTCGGATTATTTGCCTTAGGATTCGGATGTTAATCTACGAAATGTTACATGTGATCAGATGCTTGGATTGGTGCCAGAGCAAAAATCAGGCTAGTCAGTCAGTCTGTCCACCAGCTGAAGATAAATTCAATCGCCTATCACTATATATTTTATTAGATTTAAAAAAAATGCATACATTACATTTACTGTGACCGTTGAATCGCATGTTTTGTAGTTGATGCTTGAGTAACATTCTGTCTATCAGTAATTTGGGAAGCTGATCAGATGGTATCAAATGTAGAGCTAATGCATACTAATGTTGATACTTTTGGCTACAGGATGGATAAAGATGGGTCACTATCCATAGATTGGAATGAGTGGAGGAACTATCTCTTTCTTAACCCTTCCACAGACATCCATGGCATCATAAACTTCTGGAGGCACCAATATGTATGTATCCAGTTTGTTTCCATCTGTATTTACATCAGTGTCAGTAGAGCAGCTCACTGCTGAGCTAAAATCCTCCATGTGGTGTGTGTATGTGCACTGATGTTATTTGTCGCGGAGTGAAGCCAAGAAAGTTTGGACCCAGTTTATTTTAAAACACCTACTTCCAACCAGTTCCGACCCCCTAAGAAAATCAGTTTAGGTGTAAGCGCTATCAGCAGGAGATATATTATGATGTGGCATTGTAGTCACTATCTTCTGTGGGAACTAACGACTATACACAAAATGATGTAGCAGGTGTGAAAGCAGGATTGATGATGCCAGCAGAAATAGGCGAAGCTGCGTGTGTCAGTGATAGCATACTAGCCGTGTGCTCAACCTTACTGGTGTCTACATCACAAGAAATTTTCATTTTAGCCGATTTTATTGAAACTATCATTGTTATTTTAGCCAAATGATAATGAAAGATGTAGGTAATATTACTTTTACAAATAAAAATGTCTCGATCATACCTTATTACTTTACAGCATGAATTAACTGTTAGCACCTAGACATGACACATAGTCTGTCGTAGCCTTAAAGAGTGTACGTATGTGTGTAGTCTTGCAAGACATAGCCATTTCTTGATGTTAGCTATCCCTATCGTGTACAAGCTGTGGCGTCGCTAACTATTGTTATCGTGCAGGCAGGTTTAAATTTTGAGCTCACCTTGACATTGTCAAGATGAGCTATTGCCATGGGGTGTCGTCCATCGTAGGTCCGTCCGTCCGTTCATCCTTCAACATTTGCTATGGTCAACGATAACTCAAGAACCGTTCGACCCACGTTTCAAATTGCATATAGTTGTTACTCCTATGGGAGAGGTTTGAACGTCCTATTTTGGAGCACGCCAGTCGACCTACTTTCGACCCACGTCCACTTTTTGGCAAAAATGGAAATGGCCATAAGTCAGTTCTGGTTTAACGGATTTTGCTCATTTATGGTATGTTAATGAATATAATGGTATGTTAATGAATATATGGTATGTTAAGGACTGGCCCCAATACATATCACACGGGTTTTGATATTTTTTAAATTATGCAAATTAGGTAGATTGGCAAAATTTATTTCGTTTAACTGGTTAACAACTCTACAATCATACCTATATATATGTAATATTGTGTTTTAGATTCTTCGTTACAGTAATTTGACTGGAATATTTTGTTTTTGTTTGCGTGATATTCGGAAACCAAAATTGGCGATCATTTAGCTGTAGCACCATCTCTTATGGCATGTTTTTTGTTTCATAATTCGATTTTTGTTTATGGTTGATTTTATCACATATAACATTCGATTTATCACATATAAACACATACATGCACACACGTACATGCACACGACGTTACGCACACGCAGGCATTCAACACCCCGAGTAACCGATTGTAACCGATCATCGGTTACTTGGGTCCAACCGATGATCGATTATGAAATTACAACCGATTGACAACACTAGGGTTAGGGTCACAATGCACTATAAAACAGGAGTTTCAGGCACGCGATATGTATCAACCAATGGGATTTGGGAGGTATGCAGAATGCAGAAGGTTGCTGAAATGATGTGTACGCATGCAACTGCGTATCTGCATATCTGCGCCTAACAAAGGTGTCACTACGCACGACTTAAATGTTACGTTTATAACCGTAGCAAACTAGCAACAGACCTCAGATGAGCTCAGACGCTCTGCAGCTCTTGTTATTAATTAATTTGAAATGTTTTAAATTGATTTAAAATTGTGTATTTGAAATGTTTGAAAATGATTTTTGAAAGGGATGGCTTTCCATAGGTATCTATGATTCGTAGTGCTATGATATTTATTTCAAGTATCAACTAAAGTGTTTATGCTGGTAGTCAGGCCAGGAGATATATATTAATGGAGCCAACTATGATAATGGTGTCCTAGTTTGATAGAACCAACTTGGCAACTAGTTCCTAGTCGGGTGCTCATGCCAAGTGCAGCCATAGTGACATTTGGACTCGGTACATTGTAGAGGTAGAAAAAATGCTTAGAATGTTCGTGCTTGGATACTCCTGGTGGTAAATTCAGGTCAAACACACAATACCGACCTGTTCTGGCAGACTTCCAACCAAACCTTCTCCAAGGAATAGGAAGCATATAGGGATACCATAGAATGGTATTCCTAGATGCTTTAGTATTACCATTCTTAAAAATTATTGTTTAAAATTATTTACTATGTAATGAGTCTGCTAAAGATATGTACATATGTGTACATGCATGTGGATAGGTATGTAAATTGTAAACGTATACATGTGCAATATATCATGTGCAAATTTATGACATGCTAAAAACCATACAAGGCTCTGGTATCTACAGTATATTATTGCTTGTGTATTGGTTGGAGTGCTACACACATACTAAGGCTCATAGGGTCTATGTCCCCCAGGGTACTGCCGGAACGTACCCTGGGTACGGTCCGGTATATACCGGAACGTACCCTGGTAACTATCTAGCTGATATGGTTAGGGTTAGGGTTAGGGTTAGGGTTAGGGTTAGAGTTAGGGTTAGGGTTGGGGATAGGGTTAGGGAGTAGGCGTAGGCGGCGCCCTAGACTCGTTAGTGGAGTAGGCGAGGTATGGTCCGGCATATTAGATACTAGTATTTAGTACCAGGGTACGTTCCGGTATACCGAACCGTACCCAGGGTACGTTCCGGCAGTACCCTGGGGGACATAGACCCTATCAGCCATACTAACTGTGGATTGATGTCTGGCCAAAAAATGCACCATTATACTCTCTTTGTTACCAATATATGCTGCTCTAGCTTTAGACAAATAGTGTTAATTGCAAGTTATTACAGTAAATGCCTGCTTTTAATTTATAAATTTAACAAATAAACATATAAAAAGCAATTTGATATAAAAGTATGTATGGCATTTTGTAATGATGGAGAATACATGCCTGTGATTTTTGTATTGCAGGCAAAATAGATGCACAAGAGATAGTTTCTTCCCTCAAGACCCTTGGTGTCCATATAGATGCTGCAGAGGCACAGAGACTCCTGCGAAGGTACATGAATGCAACGTCTCATGTAGTGACACCAGCATTTTGTTGTTTTACTTGGATGGAGTAGAATATAAGTGTGTTGTAAAGAGTGAAACTCACAGTGGTACGATAGTCCAAAGCTATCGGATTTAGAACAAGTGGATTGTTGTCATTGTTAGTTCATATTCAGTGAAACTATAGCTCAGGTAAACTTTGATTTCAACTGATAGAAACTTGATTTACAGTTATAATTGACAATTGAAAAGTGAAAGGTGACCTAGCAAACCTGTTTCTCGGTAACAGAGACTGGCATCTCTCAGCTGTTTCGGTGGCCTGAAACTGTTGTGTGTATATGTGTGTGCATGTTTGCCATTGTGCATGTGCGCGTGTGTGTGAAAGCGTGTGTGTGCATGGTGTGTGTGCACTGACATGCTTGCGTGGTGTGTGCGTGTGTGTGGTGCATGTGTGCATATGTACGTGCGTGCGTTTTTAGCTCATCTCCGTCCGTCCGGCCGTCCGTCCGTGTGTCAACAGTTGGGCACAAATCTAAACGGCTCGACGTACGGTCACGAGGATTCCGAACCCAGGGTTCTTCCCTACGTCTGCGCAACGACGGGGCGCGCGCGCCCCGTTTGGGGAAAGACTCCTCCCCTGTTTGAATTGTGGGCCCCGTTTGAAATTACCTCCGCCGCGTTTAAAGATTCCACCAACAATAAAAGTTTGCCAGCGGCGGAGAATCGACCCGTCAAGATTGAGCCGTTCACCGGACATCCGACGGGTGTATTTTTACCGTACCACGCATGCGACTGCAAACAGTACAACAAGTTAACAGCTACAATCGCAGACAGTTAACGCTGTCACTGAACTGTAGCAGTGTAACCCGACTCGGCGCTATCTATATATACAGAAAACCCCAAAATAACCGTCCTATGGAGTGGTGGCGATTTTACAGCATTTAATTAGCGTACGACAAAACA